GGTATCCATAGGTCCTCAGCGGCTATCCTAAGAGGGTACCCATAGGTTCCGAAGGCCTATCCTATGGGGGTACCCAAAGATTCTCAAGGACTATCGTATGGGGTATCCATAGGTCCTCAACGGCTACCCTAAGAGGGTACTTATAGATCTCCAAGACCTATCCTATAGGGGTACCCATAGGACCCATAGGTCCCAAAGGCCTATCATATGGGGGGTACCCAGAGGTTCCCATGTGCTACCCTATGGGGTACCTATAGGTCCTCAAGGGCTATCCTATGGGGGTACCCATAGGTCCCGAAGGCCTATCCTATGGGGGTATCGAAAGGTCCTCAAAGCTATCCTATGGGGGTATCCATAGGTGCTGAAGGGCTATTCTATGGGGATAAAGTTCTCAAGGGCTATCCTATGGGGGTATCCATGGGTCCCCAAGGCCTATCCTATGGGTGGTATCCAGAGGTTCTCAAGGCCTATCCTATGGGGGTACCCATAGGTCCTCCAGGGCTATCCTATGGGGATACCTATAAGTTCTCAAGGACTATCCTATGGGGGTACCCATAGGTCCCGAACGCCTATCCTAGGCGGGTACCCATAGGTCCCCAAGCCCTATTCTATGGGGGTATCCATAGGTCCTCCAGGGCTATCCTATGAGGATAGTCATAGGTCCCGAAGGCCTATTCTATGGGGGTACCCATAGGTGTTCAAGTGTTATCCTATGGGGGTACCTAGAGGTCCCGAAGGGCTATCCTATGGGAGTACTCATAGGCCTCCAAGGCCTATAATATGGCGGTACCCATTGGTCCACAAGTGCTATCCTATGGGTTACACCTAGGTCCTTCAGGGCTATCCTAGCGGGGTACTGAGAGGCCATCAAGGGCTATTATATTGTGATAGCTTTAGACCCTGAAGGAAGTAAGCCAATAGGGAGATAAGGCTGCAAGGAATATAAGGCTATAAGGGCGAAGGTTACATGGACTATAAAAATATGTGCGATATGAGAGTATGAGGCCGTAGGGCTATCTATCGGTATACATAATATCGAGTGTCTGTATATATTTTACCGGATGAAAAGTTAAATGTCTGAGGTCATGCGTTAAAGAACAAAAACAGCCGTGCAGTATGCACGGGTTCTCGCTAGTTATAAAAATATTGTATACGATTTTTTCTTGTTAATAGAAATTTGTCGTTTCTTGCAGCTAAAAACGGGGTCCGCTTTCTTCCTCTCATTGACAAAAAAAAATAAATGTGCCATTTTGAATTAGAGTGTCTTCTTGATTTTAATAAAAGAGTACATCAAATACGATCGATTCTGAAAATTTGTAGATGGTAATGACTCATTCAGCGGAACAGGTTGCTAATCAAGCTAATGTAATAAAGACGAAGGTGTCAACTTGGCCACGATTTACACGATGTCATAATATTGACAATTCTCTTGTTATTTGGTTAGATCTCGATATCAATGAATCAAATCCAGACACAACAGCAGCTACCAACAAACTTCAACATATAGTCAATACAGTTAAAATATTTAATGATACAAATGCATGTATTGACTTTCTAACTAATGCTGAAAATAAAATAATCTTTATGGTTATTTCAAATGATATTTCTGAATGGTTTGTACCATTAATTGAACAATTAACTTCACTTCATTCAATTTACATACTTCAAAATCAAGAAACCCAAGTTCACTTATCAATAGGTGATCATAAAAAAGTCAAAGGAATATTTACTAATATAGATACAATTTGTATTAGTTTAAAACTTAATATTCATCAATCTATAAATGATTATACATCATTTAGTATACTTCCTTCTGTAGATAGTACGCAGAGTGTTAAATTTGATGAACTTGATCAATCATTTATGTATTCACAGTTACTCAAAGAAATTATTGTCGATATTCAATATGATGAAAAAGCTAAACTTGATTTTGTTAATTTTTGTCGTGGCCAGTGTCTTGGCAATAATATTCGATTAAATATACTCAATCAATTTGAAAGTAATTATGAATCTAATTCACCTATTTGGTGGTATACTAAAGAACCATTTGTTTATACCGTATTGAATCAAGCTTTGAGAAAATTAGATATCGAAATGATTATTATGATGGGTTTTTTTATTCATGATCTTCATCGGCAAATCGAACAGATTTATGCACAAAGAAATCCAACTAATAAAATGATTATTTATCGAGGACAAGGAATTTCAAATGATGAATTTGAAAAATTGAGGAAAAATATAGGCGGTCTTTTATCGTTCAACAATTTCTTATCAACAAGTATCGATCAAGATGTTTCACTTGCATTTGGTAGTAGTGCTCGAGATGACCCAAATTTAACAGGTGTCTTATTTCGTATAGAAATCGATCCATCGATTTCTATAGTGCCATTTGCACAATTAGATGATATTAGTTTTTATTCGAACTTTGAACGAGAAATTCTTTTTTCAATGCATACAATCTTTCGAATTAGTTCAGTAATGGAAATAGAAAATCGTTTATGGCAAATTGATTTAAAATTGACTGATAACAATGATGAACAATTAAAACTAGTAACTGAATGTATACGAAATGAAATTGGAGATGGTACAGGATGGGTACGTATGGCTGGACTATTGCTCAAGATGGGAAAATTCGATCAAGCTTCAACAATCTACAATACATTATTAAAGGCAATTCCTAACAATACACAAAACGAGCTCCAAACTTCAATACCTGCTATTTTAAACAATACTGCTGTGGTTCACGTATCATTGGGAGCTTATGAAACAGCACATTCATTTTATGAAGGCATACTTGAAATATTCGAAGAAATACTTCCATCTGATCATCCATTATTAGCTTCAATTTATAATAACATTGGAGCAGTATATATATCATTAGATAATTTTACAACAGCACTTTCATATTTTCAGAAATCTTGCGAAATCGCACAGAAATCATTACGAGAAAATGAACAAGAACTATCGAAAATCTACCATAATATAGGTCATGTATATAGAAAACTAGGAGATTATCCAACTGCGCTTCTCTACTACGAAAAAGCACTAGAAATAGATCAAAGAACTCTCCCACCATTTCATCCGTATTTAGCGACGACTTATTTTAGCATTGCAGAAGCACATGAATTAATGACAAATTATGCGTCGGCATTAGCATTCAGTGAGAAGACACTTGAAATCGAACAGAGAATTCTTCCACCATTTCATCCATCTTTATCTTCGACTTATAGTATTATTGGTGGTATACATGAATCTCTGGGAAAATATTCGTCTGCATTAGCCTACTAAGAAAAAGCACTTGAAATTCAAGAAAAATCGTTACCATCAAATCATCCAGATCGAGTGGTCGCTTTGAATAATATTGGTGAAGTATATCGATCCATGGGTGATCATACAACAGCATTATCATACTATATGAAAGCATTGGATATTCAAGAACAAGCTTCATCATCCGGCAGTCTTAGAATGAGCAATACATATAAACATATAGCCGATGTGTATAGCTCTATGAAAGATTATGAAAATTCACTTTCATATTATGAAAAAGCACTTGAAATTAAACGTACTTTACTTCCTCCTTTTCATTTAGATATGGCTGCTATTTATGTTGACATGGGTGGATTGTATCAATCGATGGAAAATTACACAGATGCACTTTCGTATTATCAAAAAGCACTTGAGATTCAAGAAAAACTTCTTGAACCTGATCATGCACATCTAGCAATAACCTATAACGATATTGGTCTAGTTTATCAATTGATGGAAGATTATTCATGTGCTCTATCGTACTATCAGAAGACACTCGAAATTCAAGTGAAACGTCTCTCACCTGATCATCCTCATTTGTCAGCAACATATCATAATCTAGGGGATTTGAGTTTTTTTAATGAAAGATTACACAACTGCTCTATCATATTATGAAAAAGCACTTGAAATTAAGTACAAATCTCTTCTGCCAAATCATCCGTCATTAGCCGTCATTTATAATAACATGGGTCAAGTTTATCGTATGATGGAAGATTATTCAAATGCACTTTCTAAATTTGAAAAACGACTTGACATTCAGTTAACTTTTCTTCAGCCGGATGATTCAGATACTGCTACAACATATGAAACTATTGGACTCGTTCATCAATCAATGAAAAACTATAGTTTGGCACTCTCATACTGTAAGAAAGCATTTGAAATACAAGAAAAACACGTCCCATCCGATGATCCTGAACTTTTAGAACTTAAGGAAACTATTAACACGCTAGAATCATTGGAAAAAGATTAAAGACCTTTCCTTTTTATTGGGTTGCTGTTATCCATATTCACGAAAGTTCGGTTCATTTTTCTTTTATGGAAATGTAGGTGGGGTGCTTGTACATATGTGTGTAGAGTGAGTATGGATCATTTTTCGGTAACACACCTATGCCCACACATCCACCCCTATCTGATTCTTTTACGATCGATATAATTAACTCATCCAACGCATAAAGCTGTTGAATAATAACGACTTTGGAGACACAAAAAAATTAATACTTTATGAAGGATCATTAAAATATAAGCTATAATACAGCGCTCAATCATATAAATACACAATCCGCTAATCATCATCATCGTTGTTGATTGAAAAGTTAAAAGAAAGCGCATTGCATCTGTTTTAATTTATTGAGGAGATGAAAGCGATTCAGTATATTTTGATGCGTTTGCACATTGATTTAATGTGGATAGTGTCGAAAATTGCAATCAATTCCAGTTGAAAGACGTACTTAACTTTTTATGTAAATCATTCATTTCGTTTTGGTTGTCCAAAATGAAGTCTTCGCTTACGGAGTTCTTAAAAATTGAATTTTATTCATTTAAATAACATGTAAATAGTCTTAGATATTTACATTTTAGTGTTGCTCTAGAAGTTTTGTGAAACGCGATCGGAAAGTGATGTTAAAGTGTTTAAGGGTAGAAAAGTCCCCCCACCCCCCCCCCCCCCTCTCCTCTCGACAGACCGTTACAGACAGATTTTGAACCACTTACAAACCGGGGTGTGGGTGTGCGTGTGCGTGTGTAGGTCCTACATGACACTTCCGAGTCGCCTCGGCCGTTTTAGACACTCGCTGGGGTTTAGCCCACCGATACTGGGAGTTACTCACTCTCAGCTACAATGTTCCTAAGATGATATTTGGAACAAGGGTCTTCAATGACTTTTCCCGATGTTAGAATCACTACCTTTCTTGTTTTTTCCCAAAAATCATTGATTAATTCCGCATGTGCAAGCACAACGGGTCATTAGACATCACCATTTCCCTATCTTACAGCAAGGTGATTTTTAATGATCCTGCTCGTTCCCAAAACCGCACTACGTTGCATTCTCTCGAGACAGTCGGCAGTTGCTACCTGAGTTAAGCCAATTTTTTCCATTAAATCTCCTTTTAGGTTCGAAAGCACTTCGCCACATGTGCCAAGGACCACCGGTAAGAAGGAAACTTTCCATCCAGCAGTTTGTAATTCACGTAGTAAATTATCTCCTACTGGGTATGGCAGTTTCGTAACTTCTTCCCAATTACCATTGACACAGTAACGATTTGTTTTTATTTGTACCTGTCTTTCTATACCAGTAAACCATGATATTGCAACCTCGATTATCAAGGCTGTCTTTCCTGGCTTATCGAAGATTATCAAATCTGGTTTGTTATGGCGAATGATCGTTTTGGTTTGTACGGGTTGATTCCAATACAACTTTATCCTCTCATTCTCTAAAACCGATTCCACTTTCTGTGAGTAGTGTGCAGGAGTAAAGCCGTATTTTTGACATATTCTATAGTGTATGTTTCTAGCAACTGAGTCGTGACGGTCGATGTATAGGTTCGACAACCACTTGGAACAACTTGAAAGGACATGCTCAATTGTTTCAAGATGGCACCCACACGCCCTACAACTCTTATCGTTCGAATTTGCTTGTGAAGGATGTGTGCGCGTTATTAAGCATCCTTCTTGAGCTGCTAGAGCATTCCTTACCGCTACCGATGATAGTTTCCCTTGCTTGAGCCAAGTAAAGGACTCTATCATATCCATGCTAGAGTTTGAACGTAGAACACGTCCTGCTAGCTCTAATTCTTTCCATGTTTTGTACCGTCCGTTGTTATTGGCAGTACGCATTAGCCCGACCACGTGTCTTGCTAATGTTCTTGCGTCGTTAAAAGAAGCACCATCTATAATGACAGTGGAACGCACTTCTTCCAACTTATAGTCTATATCATATGCCTTTATAATGCTGCCTGCATCGCTAACTACACATCGTTTCCCCCGGTTAACCATTCCCAAAAACAGATTTAATGATCCTTTTAATTCTGCTTTCGTACAGAGATACGCCCATAGGTATATGGTGGACTCCTCTATGGCGTCCTTAATCGATTTGAGACCATATCCTCCCATTTCAGCTGGCAGGTACAATCTTGCTACACAGCTGGATTTTTGTCTAGCTTTAAGCTCCACAAGGAGTTTGCGGTACTTCTTATCTAGATCTTCGCCCCGTTTTAAGACACTTGCGTATGTACCACTACCTTTAATTATGCAACTGGCTATATATTTAAATACAGGAATGATAGTGGTGTTATAGGAATTCACTTTTTGTCGAAAAGTAAGATCGGAATCCCATAAGCGACGTGCTTTATCATAACACCTGTCGTTCGCACGATCCCATGCTTCAGACTCCTTTAAACCTAGCTTCTGTTCCATGCCCAGATATTTGTAGACTGCTTCACCATCTAGCATCGGGAAGCTTATACTTCTGTCAGTAGATGTGTCATCATCTACATCTGTCTGTTCACTTCGCATTCGTTTCGGTATAAAGTGTGTTACAGCACATTTTTTAACATTCAATTTCATGTTAATGTCCTCTGAAATTGATGCTACGACTTTGATCTGTTCCATTAGACTTTCAGGTGAGTTTGCGTACAGCTTAAGATCATCCATATAGAAAAGATGAGACAACGAGATTTGCACCTTTTTAAATTTCCCAGAGGCGGTGGTATAGCCACCTTTAACACTATTTATTGCGTGACTGATGGGAGCCATCGCTAGACAGAACAACAAGGGACTGAAGCTATCTCCTTGAAGAACTCCGGAACGGATCCTTAGATAATTACTATGTTCTATCTTACCCCTAGGACTTCTCGCTTCATATCGTACTCTCCAATTATTCATGACGCTTTTCAAAAACTTTCGTAACAGGTCAGGAACTTGCATTACTTTGAGCAGCCATTTGATATAACTATGTGGCAGACTGTCGAATGCCTTTGCATAGTCTATCCAAGCTACGCTAATAGGTCTCTGCTTCTGATCCTGTGCGTCTGCTATTAACGTTTGGTCAAGAGTGAGAGCATGTGAGCAAGCCCACACACCCCGACGTAATGCTATTTGCTCGTTGTTCAGTATATCTCGCCCCCTCACATACTGATCTAAATATGCGGCTATAAAACCTGTTACTAGCTTGTAGCAGATGTTTAAACAAGCTATAGGTCTGAAGTTCGCGGGATCAGACCTAGATCCGGATTTATGTATGAGTACTATACGTCCATCGGTTATCCACCTCTGCGGTAAGGGTTCGCCAGATAAGATATGATGAAGAGTTAAATCATAAAGTGTTGCATTGGCTGAATCGAAGACTTTCCACCAGTACCCCTGCAACTTATCTGGACCATGTGCTTTCCATGGTTTTATCTTTTGAACAACCTTCTGCCAAAGTTCAGGGTTCAATCGACCTTTAAGATCAGTCTCTCCCTGAATATTTGACATCGATTGTTCCCATGCTACTAGCCGTGGACTCTTCGAGTTAAAAGACTTTTTCACCCCTACAATTTCTTTCCAGAACTTTCTGATCTGATGGATATCAACTGGTTCTGAATCAGTACACGTGCCTCGGAATAGCATCTTAGCCGGCATCTGACGAACGCGTACACGTTCTTCATCTGCTTTCCTTAATGCTATTCGCGATTGTAGAAGTTGAAGTCTGCACTTCAATCTTTCTACAAGAGATGTTATTTCAGCCCGTGACTCCACCTTATATTTCTTTTTAAGCATCTTGATAATAGAAAGCTGCTTACTTGTAAGGGCTACTTCCGCACTTCTCACCCGTCTATTTAACTCACTAGTAGCTTTACCGATGACGCGGCGCAAATTCTCACATTCACTATATGTGATCTTAAACCATTCTCTTGATCGTTGTTGTTTTTCAAGACATTTTCGGTTTCCTATCTTAGAAACTGTCATCGCACCAGCGTAAACTAGATTTGACAACTGATTCCAAGATATTCCACCTACTACCAAATCTAACTCACTTTTTATCAGTCGATTAACTTCGCAGATGATAGGCTTAATATGCTTGCCGGAGACTCTTAGTGGCGTTTTTCTCAACGTCATCCGACATCCTATCTTTTGTGCCTTTTTATATTCTTTCCTGAAGGTTGAGTTAACAACATCATCAGCCAAATCAGCCGGTACGCACTGATCTGGTTTTACGACTGTAGGGTTTACATCGTTATTATTACTATCGGCGTTGTGGTTAACATCTACAGTAGTGTCAGATGGAATAGTAACGACTTTCAAATGCAATTTCGTCTTCTTTTGTGTCAAAGACGAATCACTAACACTCACACTGGCGGATTTGGTCTTGATATCCCGCCACTTGCTGCTAAGGCCTGCCTTAGTCCTTTTGGGCAGATTCAGATCTATCCAAGCTTTTTCGACGTCATTCCAAGATATCGTACCTGAGGGTGTGACATTGCTTGGAACTAATCGCTTTAGCTTTTCAATTTCCTCTTCTGACCAAACTGATGCCTTCCCCGATCCAGCGGGTTTGTCACCACTCGGTCCTTTTCCTCCATGCGGAGTGCTATTTTCGAACCGACGAGTGGGTGTAGGAGCCACATGAATGCCAGCACTAGGACCTTGATCTTGGCTAGAAGTATCGACAATTACTGCTGGGGCAACTGCACGACGACTTCTAGTTGCAATAGGTTGCCGAGATTCGGCACTCGATCGCTCAGCCAGTCCGGATAAGGATGCTGCGCGCTTCCCGTCACCGGGTTTCACTGATTAATAGAATGTAGCTGTCTCTAGATGATGTCCTCCAGAGACGTGTGCGTGTGTATGATGAGACAGGGCTGCCAAGTGCTAATTTTCAAATGTGGTACATCAGATTTCAAATGGGGTACAGTTAGGGTACAATTTTTTTTAAAATGGGGTACATCGTTGAGGTACTCAATTTTTTTCTAAAAGGAAAGAATTAGTTTGGAA